TAATATTTGTTTTCTAATTGCATTAAGAATTTCTTCGAACTATTTAATTGGCTGGTTTACTCATTTTTCAATGCAGTTCAATTAAATGCTATAAAGCCTCTTTTCAAACCTAACCTGTAATTATTTGGCCATTTATGGAAGCAGCCGAATGGCGCCTTTTGTTTTCTCTGAGGTTTGCCCTTCCAAGAAAGCGTGATGACATCATGTTGACTAAGATTGACATGGTCTTTGTGACGGTGGTGATAGGGAATGGGAGTGAATCAGACTCAGAGAGAATGTGCCTTGTTACATTCTGTTTTAATGCTAGTTATTGAACGAGAGAGAGAGGGAGAGGGAAGAGGGAGGAGAGGAAAAATAGAGAGAAAGATTTTTTTGATTTTGCTTAAATACTGACAATGATTTTACCTTTCTTTAACTGACATCATGTTGACTATTAAACGATTGACATGGTCTTTGTGAGGAGTAGCGAATGAAGAGAATCTGGCGCATTGGCCGATATATTACTTGTGCATGGATCAGAGTTGACTTGATGTGCTTTGTTTCATTCTGTTTTAATTCTAGTTACAGTATTGAAAGAGAGAGAGAGGCAGAGGGAAGAGAGGAAAAATAGAGAGAAAGATTTTTTTTATTTTGCTTAAATACTGACAATGATTTTACCTTTCTTTAACTGACATCATGTTGACTATTAACAGATTGACATGGTCTTTGTGATGGTGGTGATACATGTAGGAGTAGCGAACGAAGAGAATCTGGTGCATTGGCCGATATGTTACTTGTGAATCACTGAATCAGAGAGAATGTGCTTTGTTCCATTTTGTTTTAATGCTAGTTATTAAAAGAGAGAGAGAGAGAGAGAGGGAGAGGGAATGATGAGAAGGAGGGGAAAGAGGAGGAGAAGAAGAAGAAATAGAGACAGACAGAGAGACAGACAGACAGAGAGAGAGGGAAAAGGAGAGAGACAGAGAGAGAGAGACAGAGAAATAGAAACAGACAAATAGAGACAGACAGAGAGAAAGAGAGAGAGAGAGAAGAGAGAGATCTTTTTGGATTTTGCTTTAGTCAATTTTTTTCAGACTATTGTGCTCCAGAATTTTCAATTAATTTTTGAAAGGCAACAATTGCTTTTGAAAAACCTGTTAATATCATTTTCAGATCTACACCGTGTATGGCACTAGGTACCATCTTGAAGTGACTGCTTTGTATAGAAAGTAGGGGGAGGGGGTTCATGACTGTACAGTATTTTTGATAAGTACATTATATGTCTTCATGAATATTTGTTCTTTTATTTGTAGCCTGCAGTTGGCTAACTAGAACCTGTAGATTTGAGTTATGTCAACAAACTTTTAGCTTGAATGGAGAAATAGGGCTTTTAAATAGAGAATTAGAATTTGTCTTTATTTTAATTTTCTTGATGTTGACAAATTCTACATTAACCATTAAAGTAAAACCTACTCTAGGAATAGCTACATGTACATGTGTGCCCTTATTTATTGCTCAGTGATGTTAATTGGAATGGAGACAAGCCTCCAAATAGTAAGGTATTCTATGATTCTATTTAAGAAACATTCATTTCTAAATCTTAGTCTACAAATGCTTGTTGAAATACTTTTAGACGTAAGCTTTGATATATCACATTCTCAAGAAACATAAATCGGAATAAATCAATTTTTCTGGTACTTAACACATTAACCAACTTGGTAAGAGTATGATTAATTTAGTTGTTAACTGTATAGACTGTATATATTTGAACGGTCGCGTCTCTCAGCATCGCTGATAACCTTTAAAGTCAATGCTCGCTGACAGAGTCAAACCCAGTTTACATTGTAATCCCCATAAAGGCTTGACTTGGGAAGGGAAAGCGTTCCTCCACGTCATGACGTACAACTCCAGAACATGATGCAGGGCGGTGAAGAAAAGACGCCAGAAACCAGACAATACAGTGAAATTCAAGCTGACTGAATGTTACAGAGAGAGAGAGAGAGAGAGAGGGGGGGGGGGGGGAGGGGGGGGGGAGGGGGGGGGGGGGTAGGGGACATGGAAAATTGAAGATGTGAATGGTGAATGGGAGAGCAGCAAGAATTCAAGAATGAAAAGAGAGAAATAGAGAGATGAGTAGACAACTTGACATTCAAAGAAAGGATGGGGCGAGTGAAGGAACGAGTAAAGAGAGAGAAAGTCAGAAATAATGGAAAAGAGGACGGAATGGGGAAGAGAGAAGGGGGTTAGTAGGACGTAAAAGTCTTGAAGAGGAGGGTGAGATCTAAAGAAGTACCCAACAAGAATGTGAGAAAGGAGTGAGGATGAGAGGGAGAGAGAGAGAGGAAGCAGAACGAAAGAGAAAAAGAAGAGAGCATTGGAAGAAAAAAAAAGAAAGAGGGAGAGAGAGAGAGAGAGAGAGCAAGCATGCAGAGAGAAAAGAGTGAGATAGAGGGGAGGAGGAGAGATGTCAGAAATAAAACGAAGAGAGAGAAGGAAGACGAAGTAGCAAGAGAAAAGAGAGAAGAAAGAGAGGGGAGAGAGAAAGAGGGAGAGAGAGAAACATATACATGTACATGTAGGGAGAGAGATAGAGAAGAGGAGATATAAAGAGATGAGAACAAGAGATGAGGAGAGAGACGGCGATGTAGCTCGAGGGGAAGGAGGGTAAGAGAGAGTTCAGTGCATCATTTATCTCCAAGATGGCAGGCATGGTGCGTGGTTCATCTAGAGTTCAACCTCTCTCTGCCGCACACATAGGGGATTGTATTTAGATGGAGAGAGAGCAGACTTTGCACAATGCTCTCAGTGATCGAGAAGAACATGAATAATTCCCCTTTCTCTCTCTTTCACAACATACCCTTTATCTTGGGTGAGCCGACTGTAATAGACGCTCGTTCGTACGTTACCCCTCTCTCCATTCATGGCTCAATAATTAAAAGCTTTTAAAAACGGATATATTAACAATAGACAGCCTTTAATATAGCATTCCTTCATTCATTATTTATATTGCCGTTTGGTTAAAACTTGTATTGACGAGATTATCAATTTTGCATTCGAAATAACTTTTTAGGAGGAGTGCGCACAATCTTTTTGTGACTTGTGATGGATCTCTTTGTTGATTGTGTGGTGAAACATTTAATTTTAGAATTTGCATCAAACTTTACTCATTCAGATTTCAGGTACTAGAATAACTGGAAGCTTCTAAGAGTATTGCATTATTTTCTGCCCAATTATAGGCCATTGTCCAAACTTCTTGGAAAATTCATATGTTGTGATACAGATTGTGTCCTTAAAGACATATTTACAGGAAAATGTTGAAATCATGCACATTTCTTTTCATGCGTGTGCATGTATTTAATATGACTTTGAAGAGATAGGAGAGTTTTTGCTGTGCTTTGTTGTATTAGTATTATTATCAGCATTTTTTTTTTTTTTTTTTTTTTTTTTTTTTTTTTTTTTAGGGGGGGGGGGGGGGGGTCATTGGGGTTGTGTCCATTATGAGGTATTATTTGAGGTAAAGTAGAACTAGCACGTAGACTGCATAGATACACATGTACATATAAAGTACATATACTGTATAGCCCTATGGATAATGGGCCATTCAGGTGTTGTGTAATCGCCATGCTTCACTGCCCATGTCTACTGGGCTCTAAATCATGCCATTCAGGCTGCGTCTATTAGGAGGTAGTGGCAAGGTTATTTGAGGTCAAGTAGATTGTCAACAAACCCATATTCCTATGCCGAGCTATCAGTGGACCCCACAATGCATTGCCCTATGAGTTGGCTAGGCCCTCTTCATGACTGGACCAGAGCCATTTATACACAGAGTTTGGCCAATTTTTGTTTCTCAGTTGATTACAACATATGGTACAAGCCTATTCTCTTGTTTAGACTTGCCGAACATTGTACATGTCCATGTTGCATTGTTTGCAATGAAGAGGGGCTACTCCATAGAAAATGCAATGGAATATGATGTACATGTACATGTACAGTAAGTGATGTAAAGAAATGTAATTCATTATAATCATGATTGTCATCAAGTCATCATTATTATCATTGGTTCCACCAATTATTAAAGGAGTTAACTCGTTGGTTCCACTGACCACCTCTAGCATTGAATTATTCACAAGTATACTCTGATACTTTATAAATCACTGGACTTCTTATAGTTTATTCAATCGTGGATAATGCTGTTGACATGCTTTTGGATAGCATCACCAACAATAAGCAATGGTATTTCATGAGTTGTTCAAAAAATAGAGTGGGATAATTATGCTCTTACCCCCCCCCCCCCCCCCCCCCCCTCTCTCTCTCTCTCTCTCTCTCTTTCTCTCTCTCTCTTTCTCTCTCTCTCTCTCTCTCTCTCTCTCTCTATTTCTTTTTTAAAAGTATTTCATCTTCCCAACTCCTGATGCCATTTCGACTGATTTCACATACCTACAGTTGTACAATAACAAATGTCATGAATTGTTTAAAATATGGAGCCAGGATATCATTATCTTAATTTTTGTTTTCAATTTTTTTTTTTTAAACTTTCTTTTCTTAAATCTTTTCAAAACAAATACTCTGTCTTTCTTCCCAAATCCTGATGCCATTTTGAACTCATCTGAAACAATTTGACTTCTACGACTTGCAAAGTCTATGACTTACATGTTTTAATAAATGTTCTCTATTGGCCACTATTCTTCTTTGATTGATTATGTATTCCATATTTTGTGCACACTCATTATTATCTGAGGGGTCCACAATTTACAAGCTTTGCTTTTCAGTGGACCTCTCCATTTCCTCAAAATATAAATGCAGTTACATGTAAATGTTAAAATTCATTTTTTGTCTTCCTAAAATGTATTAATTATTATTAAGATTTGTTTATTACAAATGTAACTATGTTTTGTATACATTTTACATTGTATTCGTTATTATGTATTGTATTTTGTTGGAAATAAAAAAATAAAAATGAAAACAATGAAAAGAAGTTAAACTTAACAGTTGCCATTATTTTTTGTTCATTCTTGTTACAGCTGGGGTGCAGGAATTGGCCACCAAAACCCTGCACATTCAGAGCAAGAGGTACTACCTCGATGTCAAACAGAACAGGAGAGGGCGTTTCCTCAAAATAGCAGAGGTAAGTGAGGTGCGATCAACCCTTTCATCTTCATATTTTTTAAATTTGTTATTTATTTTTGATCATTTTATTGTATCATATCATATATCATTGTATCATTCATGAACATGAAGCCAATTTAAAGTAGCTCCTGCAGGGGTATATAGAGGGCAGCACACTGAGCCAACAGGTATTACGCTCCGGTGCGTAGTAGTGTCCCTTTATGAGTACCTCCGTACGGGAGCGTAATACCGTTGGCTCAGTGTTTGCCAAGTCGCCTACTTCACGAAGGATGCATGGACACCCAAAAGACCATTTTGAAAAATCATCAATTTTTTTTTTTTGGGGGGGGGACTACCACTTGCACTGCTGGTAAAGTTTGCTCATACCGTTTTTGGATGAGTAGTGTACATGCCCACCCTGCAACAGGAATTGATATCTACAAGTTGTTTTTAAGGAACTAAGAAACTTTTACGAACTACAAAAATATTGTGTTGTGTCTATTGTGATCCAATAGACCATTTGTGTAATGTTATCAAAATTAATTCATAAATCTATGTTAAAGGTAAAAGACCAGTTATGGTCATGCGATTGCATTGTGAAAGAAACGTTGTGGAATCGATCAGAAAAGGTTGATCATCTAGCATCTAGCATCTGCAAGGTTCTGGAATCATCAAAATGATAAGAAATTTGGCCCATTCTTCGTAAATTTACAAGCACTATACACAGAAAGATGTATATGGGACTACCCTATATCTCTCACAGTCCATGAGAGAAACAAATTTACCAAATATATGAACTAGTAGGCGGTATCCCGGCAAATTTTGTATCATCATGTATTAGTCAAAACATATTCTTTCACATGATTGGTAATTTTGTATCATCATGTATTAGTCAAAACATATTCTTTCACATGATTGGTAACGAGAGCTTCCATTTCATTTTTTGAAATTGGGGCGTTTCCAATACTGGTCTTTACCTTTAAGAGCCATGGTACAAATTATTTCATTCACTTGTTAACAAATAATTGTATTACCCGGTACAGTAGTCAGAATGCATTGTTGCTAGGCAGAACAAACATCATGGCTTGTCCTACCTAGCAACAATGTACAATTATGTGTAACAGGTGAATTAGATATTTTTCTACGTGATGGCACTTAACAACGATTTGTGCATTACCGTGATTTGATTACATGTACATTATGAAAATGGCCTATTAATTTGGGAGCATGATACTTGTGAAGCAGAATCCGTTGTAATTTTCAAATTTTCCCTGCACACACAAGTTTCCTGTTTTTCAGTAATGGTAATGTTTGCCTTTAAAGGGATTGGGTAACTTTGTCTCAGATTCTTTAACAAATCCTGGATTTAGCTCATGCTGCAATCATAATTATAAACCTTTAGGTCAGTCAGGAACCCCGTGAATTTTACAAGCCCAGAGCCTGTCAGATTATCAAGATATTTATGATTGGATTGACAAATTTTGAAAACCGTTTGCCAAGCGGTTTTCATAACACTACAGTCTATTGGGGAAAACGAGTATGGTAGAATCGGTCACTCAAAGGTTTTTTTCTTTTTTAAGGCACTTCTTGATCATTTTAAAGCGCATACCACAGACACTGATAATACGTAGGGCCGTGCATCTCAGATTATGTTGTTAAACGATGCCTTTAAACCCATGCAGCTACAGCATCAAGGAAATATATGAAACCCATTGTCAATTGTCACCTTAAAATAGGTTCTTGGTTCAAGTGTTCAATTATTCAATTGTGGACAACATCTCTCTTAATATGAATTATTAACTATATACTAGTCTTACCTTGAGGCAGAAATGGTCATTTTCTTCCAGGGCCTCATTTCACAAAACTTGTCTATCAGTGACAAATGACAGTTTTTGTTAATTATACAAGCTAGTGAAATCCTTGCTTCTTATTGGTTATCAGCAGATTCGTTCCTGATTTTGGTCATTGTAAAAATGCTTTATATATATGGGTCCCAGATATCAGGTTGCGTAGAGAGTTGTGCATACTGTAGTCTCATTTCCCCGACTCATTTCACACTTTCTTTTTATCATTTTTTTGTTGTTGTTATTTTGGCAAAATAACAAATACAAGAAAATACAGTGAAAAACAAAATATATGAGCAAGTTGATGTTTAAAAACACCATATATTTACATCACTAAGAAAATTGTGTTGTTCAATGTTTTTATATGGAGATCTGGCATGGCCTGAAGTTGTTGCCTGTGGCGCCTGCAAACTGGTGTTTATTACCATGCATGCATTCTCTGAAAGTGGTCAAGATGGTCAGTCAATCGAAGCTCCATCGTCCCGGGAGCGCATATTTTTTTTACACAACTGTTTAGCCATTTTCGCGAAAATAATTCTTGAAGTGCTCTGGTGAAAGAGTCTAAGTCGTCAGCGCACTATACTAGTAGTACATGTGCAAGCACGTACACCCAGGGAAGGAAAGATGATAGAAAAGTGAAAACAAGGATAGTGGAAAAGGAAACAAGGAAATACTTAAGGAAAGAGAAGAGGATAATTCAAAGGAAAAACATAGAAATACATAACGGAAGAGCTAAGAGGATTATTGATTTGGGTATAGAGTATAGACTAAGGAAAAACATAGAAATCATACAGAAGGAGAAAATGATAGATTAAATAAAATGATTGAATTAATGAATGGATGGTCAATTGAATGAATGAATGGATGGATAGATAGATAGATTGAGAAAGGATGGATTGGTGGATGGATGGATATATTGAGGATGAATAGATAGATAGATTGAGAAAGGATGTATGGATGGGTACATGAGGAAGGATGGATGGATGGATGGATAGATTGAGAAAGGATGTATGGATGGATACATGAGGAAGGATGGATGGATGGATGGATAGATTGAGAAAGGATGTATGGATGGATACATGAGGAAGGATGGATGGATGGATGGATAGATTGAGAAAGGATGTATGGATGGATACATGAGGAAGGATGGATGGATGGATGGATAGATTGAGGAAGGATGGGTCGATGGATACATGAGGAAGGATGGATGGATGGATGGATAGATTGAGAAAGGATGTATGGATGGATACATGAGGAAGGATGGATGGATGGATGGATAGATTGAGAAAGGATGTATGGATGGATACATGAGGAAGGATGGATGGATGGATGGATAGATTGAGAAAGGATGTATGGATGGATACATGAGGAAGGATGGATGGATGGATGGATAGATTGAGAAAGGATGTATGGATGGATACATGAGGAAGGATGGATGGATGGATGGATAGATTGAGAAAGGATGTATGGATGGATACATGAGGAAGGATGGATGGATGGATGGATAGATTGAGAAAGGATGTATGGATGGGTACATGAGGAAGGATGGATGGATGGATGGATAGATTGAGAAAGGATGGGTCGATGGATGGATGGATTGTTGAATAGTTCTAGGATAGTCTGGATAGATTGAGGAAGAATAGATTGAGGATGGAAGAGTAGATTGAGGATGGATTAATCGATGAATCTAGATAGATAGATAGAGGAAGGAAGGATTGATGGATGGAAAGATTAATAAATTAATTGATGGATAGATGTCTTAGATGAATCCTTGTAGATGAATGAATAAATGGATGGATTCATTGATGAATAATAATAATAACAAAAACGGTGCTCATAAAGCGCTTACCACCGAAGTCTCTATTTTTGGGTATTTTTGTATTTATTAACATTTATTTCCTTCTCAACAGTACAATATGAAACACAATGTATATATACATGATATATGTAACAATTATTTCAACATAGAGTATACAGTAAATAATTCAGATACGGAAGGAGGCGAAAACCCGGAAAGCATAGCTTGAGTTGGGAAAGCCCATAATAAATTTATGCGCTATAACAAAAAAAATACAATGATATACCTGTAAAACAAATACAAACAGTGTATTAAACAAAACAAAAAAAAGGAAAATAAACCTACAAATTACAATACATATGAAATATATAGAGTAAATCAATCATCAAAAGCAATTTTGAATAAATGTGTCTGAAGACAAGTTTTGAATAAACAGCTTGACAGTTGTTGACATTTAAAGGTAATTTGTTCCAAAGTTCAGCAGAAGCTTTGCAAATGAATGAATGGATGGATGAATAGATTGAGGATAGATTCACTAATTGATTGGTCAATGGATGGATTGACTGATAATGCAGTTCAATGCTTTTAATAAACATTTTGTTCAGAAACATTAAAATAAATTTGTAGTAGTTTCCAGAATATGACGAGGGGCATTTTCTGCATTGAACGTGTAGGAGATCAGAGCAGTTTTTACCCTAAAAGATTAGTGTAGAATAGTGCACCACCCCTCCATGCCCTATCCCGTAGCCCCTTTCTTTCTTCATTTCTTTTTTATTCTGGATTAAGTTTAGATCTTCTCATATTAAACTTTGTTGTTTAATCTCTATGACTCAAGCTTGATCAATAAACTTCTGAAGAGATCTAAACTCTACTGTCTACGCTATCTTTCAAAAATAAATCATATTGTCAATCATTTTATTAAAAGAGGTAAGACAAATCTTTATGGGCAACAATGTATTATGTTTTTTTTTTATTTTCCTTGGTGTACTGCTACATGTACATTTTCTTTTTTTCAAGATGCAAATAGAATTGGAGATTGTAACAAATACAGTTCCGTACGTGTCATGAATAACTTTCATCCAGACAAGTCTGAACATGCTTATGCATTGTAAATGTCAGAGGTCATAATGTACCTTAGCCTATAATAGAGCGCGGTGTTCAGCCACAAAAATAAACTCTTTTCCCCACGAAATGTATCACAAAATAAGAAAAAATAACTTGATTATTTATCACTAGCTTAACACTAGCTTAACTTTCAAACCCATACATCAGTACATTAGTATTCAAGTATTCAAAATGTACTAATGTTTTCTTTTTTTTTCCTAATCAAAGAGCAATATTTTTATGCCATTACATTTTTTGCACCTTCTTGAAGCGCTTTAATTG